TTTTTTTTCCCCAAAGGGGAAATTGGTTCCTGTCGAGATTCCAAGTGTTTTGTATCTACATTTTTGTTTAAAATATAATCAAATGACCTGATTTTTCAAAAGGAAATTGTGCACGATGGTCCATGTGTGCTTCCACCTTTGGCACTCAGCATCTTAAGTTTGTCAAGGTGATGAATTAAAGAGAAGAGAAAAATAAGCAAGCTACTGGGAGTGGAGTTTCCTATTGGCTGACAGGAGGGGCGGAGTCTGGAGGGGTCATATGTGTAGCAGGTGTTTGCTACTTATATAATTTTTACCTATGAATTTAGATTTTCCCCTCAATTATTTTAGGGACAGAAGCAGCCTCTAGAAAGAACATTTCAAAGCATGACAGTGCAAAGATCTTGAACTAGCCTACATGTCTCTGACAACCCCTGTTTTTCCTGTGTTATACTGGCTCACATAAGAAGTGCCCTAACTGCTCTTCTGCTATTTCTAATTTTAAACAGGGAAATGCACATAAAATCATGGAGAAGTGCACATTGCCGCTGACCGGAAAACAATGTGTCAACCGCATCATTACTGAAAAGGTAAAGTCTGCCTCGCTCTTTTTACTTCCTTGAATATCTACCAGCAGCTTTTAAATTTATAAGCATTTTTAGAATTCTTTGCTACCTACTAAAATGCCTTGTGATAGCAGACAGAAACCCACTTGTCATCGAGTAGCTTCTGACTCATAGCAACCTTATAGGACGGAGTAGAACTGCCCTTGTGGGTTTCAGAGGCTTGGGAGGCTGTACCTCTTTGAGGGAGTAGAAAGCCTCATCTCTCTCCCAAGGAATGGCTTAGGGTTTCACTCTACTCACCTTGAGGTTAGTTGCCCAACAAATAACCCGATCAGCCAGGAAGACTGAGACTAAGGACCTAGAAGTCCCCTTCTAAAGGGTTGACCAGTGAAAATGTTATCGATAGCAGCAGATCACTGATGCAGTGCGAGAACATGAGAAAAGACGTTAGCACCGAATAAACTGGTCAAAGCCATTTACGTGTCCGAATAAAGTCTTGCTGGCATAATGGGTTACACTTTGAGCTGCTAAACCTCAAGGTCAATGGTTCAAACCTACCAGTTGCTCTGAGGGAGAAAGATGAGGCTTTTTGTTCCTGTAAAGATTTTAAAGATTTTCCCATATGGTCCCTGTGAGTTGCAGTCAACTTGGTGGTGTTCTATTTTTTGTTTTGTTTGTTTTTGGTGGGTGCCTTTATATTGCAAAAATAAATAGTGATAAGGATGACTAATATGGCCTTTGACTATCAAGGATATGAATGGTATAGGTTTACCATGGGACCCTATGTATCTGTAGGTTTCCAATAAGTATGTGTTGAGTGAGATTGCAGTACCATTTTAGGTAATGGATGTGTCATTCCTATTTCTAGCAGATACGAAGCAATGAAATCTATTTCCAAATCAGTTCTGATTCATGGTGACCCTATAGAACAGAGAATAGCCTCATGGAACTTCCAACTGTAAATCTTTATGGTAGA